AAAAAAAAAATGAGTTTGGTGAGAAATGCAAAAGTTGAAATGTCTCTGTGATGCCCTGGGCAGCTGGATATGCACTGTCTGAAACTTGAGGAGGGCAAGGCTGGAGGTGCAAGTCCTCAGAGTTATCAGTACAGTGCAGCAACCAAAATAAAGACAGGTGAAATTATTTAGTGAGAACGAGTGTAGCTAGAAAAGAGAAGTCCAAGAACTGGGGCACTCTGAAAATGAAGCAGTTGGAGAAACAAACAAAAAGACTAGAGAAGAATAGTCAGAAAGATGGGGAGAGACGTAAGAGAGTGCAGTATCTTGGAATTCCTAAAAGAGTCAGCATGAGACGTTTCAAAAGAATTTCAGTGATATGGTAGAAAAACCCAACAGGGACAGGATACGTCAAGAGAAAGCGGACAAGTTTGCTAGTGCCCTTCTTTCCTTTCAGCCAGGCACCTGCTGGTTACTGCTGAAACGGGCAAGGTCACGAAACCTGAGAAGGGAGTGCGGATCCTGGCTGGACGCTATTCCAGACACAAAGCCATGATCGTGAAGAACACTGATGATGGCACCTCAGACCACTTTATATCTCTGGTGGCTAGAACTGACCACTATCCCTACAAAGCGACAGCCACCATGGACAAGAAGAAAATCAAGAGGTCAAAGATCAAGTCTTTCATGAAAATATGTAACTACAATTACCTCACTCCCACAAGACACTCGTGGACAGCCCCTTGGACAAAACTGTCATTAACAAGGATGTCTTTAGAGGCCCAGCTCTGAAATGCAAGGCCAGATGGGAAGCCAAGGTCAAGTTTGAGGAGCAATATAAGATAGGCAAGAACAAGTGGCTCTTCTAGAAGTTTTAGTATGATTTTGTTTTCTATCATTAAACATTAAGAAAAAAAGTTTTACTACAAAGGAAAGAACTGTGAGGTAGCTGAGAAGTAGACTAAGGTTTTGTTTTGTTTTGTTTTAGAAGAAATAAAATAAGATTTTTGCATCCTGATGGGAATAATCCAGAAAAGAGGAGAAATAATGCTACAAGGAAGAAGTAGTCCACACTAACACTAAGCTAACAGCAAAACACAGCCCATGTGTCCAATAATAGGAGTCTATTGGGTTAGAAGTCCTTTCTAGATCTACCCTAGACAGTACTAAATGAATGTGAAAGCACTCCATGTAATCATATGGAGATCCACAAGATGTCGTATGAAAAGAAACAAGGTACAGAATAGTATAATGTTGTTTGTGTAAGAAATTATTTATAATTCATGTTTGTTTTATGTAAAGAAAAAAAATGAAAGCAACTATATTCAAGAGGTGTGAAGAGGAGAGAGAAAATGGGGAAAAAGTAGTTGCAGGCTACACAGATGCCACAAGATGGCTCATTGGGTAAAGGTACTTTCTACCCAAGCCTGACAACCTGAGTTTGATCCCTGAAACCCAAATAAAGGTGAAAGAAAAAAACCAACTACAAGACGTTGTTCTCTGACCTCCACACACACAATAACAATAATTTATTTTTAAAGTATTACTTTTTCTGCTGGTGAGATGGTTCAGGGGGTAGCGAGCAGCATTTGCACACAGTCCTGACTACCTGAATTCAATCCCCAGACTCCACAAGGTGGCAAGAGAGAACCAACTCCTGAGAGGTTCCTCTGATCTCCATATGCCCACCATAGCATGTGTGCACCCAACCCATACTCATACTCTAGCACACACAATAAATAAATTTAAAAGAATGAGGGTAAAAATCAAGCCCTTAATTAAGACAGAAGTAGGTATGAGACTTTACCCTATATTTTAAAAATACTGTTCCAATGTTAGAATCAAATGTCTAAATTACCCTTTGCCTTCCTGTCACTAACAACTACAATGAAGAGGAACTGTGAAATAATATTAAAGTTTGTCTACTGAGTAATAATTCCAAGAAAGTGGAGAGAAAATTCTGCACTGACCCTCGTCCTCTAGCTTCTGCTCCCATCCACTCCCCACTTTTCCTTTTCCCAGTCTAGATGCTGATCTCAGCCTTTTTTTGAGTTCTCCAAAGGTAAACAAAACCCTCTGGGAACAATGCTGATTTTATGTACTAGTTTTTAAAAGAGTTTATCTATTAGTTTTATGTGTATGAGTGTATTACCTGCATGTATGTAAGTGCACCTGTGTTGTGCAGTGCTGGCAGAGGTCAGAAGAAGGCGTCAGATCTCCTGGAACTGGAGTTACAGATGATTGTTAGCCAACATGTGGATGCTGGGAACTGAACCAGGGTCCTCTGTAAGAGCAGCCAGCGTTCTTAACTGCTGAGCCATCTCTCCAGCCCCTTATGTAAGATTTTTAAAGAACCAATAAAGAGGCTTTATATTATGTAATTCACAACAGTTAAGCAACACTTGTGGGCTGTTCTCCAAAGTTACTAAGGATCATAGGACACAGCTTCTGTCTCACCCCAAGTCCATTCCTGTACTGACTCTGCACTGCCACTGTTGTACCAGGCTCCAGTTTTAGTTTGTTCAATTGTGCCCTGCAAATTGATCAGCAAAACAGCCCTGTCCTCTGCCTGCCAATGAAAGGCACCTCTGCTTCTTAAACAGTGCTAGGTAAACAAGGTACCCCTGGTCTCTGGCTGTCCTAGGTCTCATAATGCTAGTAGCTAGCTAAATCTCCTGTGAACATTTTTCCATAGGGATATTTAAATAAATCCCTTCTTTATCCTAATGTGGATTAAGTTAGATTCTTAAGAATATATCCATTGACTAGCTTTTAAAAAGGAGCTAAATATTGACATAGGTTGAAAATGGCTTTTGTCTTCTTACCATAAACATGATATATTTAAATTATAAACATAATTTTGTAAGTGACTTTAGATGTTTTTACAAGGAGAGATTTGAAAAAAAAATTAGAAAGTACAAGAAAATACTCATATAATAAAAAATAAACATTTATTACATTCTTTTTACTAATAGCCAAATTTAAGTCTCATAAGAACTTTGTAGGCTATAACCAGTATCAACATGTTGCTGATAAGGAAACAAATTCAAACAGCTTAGGCTCAAAGTCACAGAACTTAGAAGTACCAAAGCTGGGTAGTAGAGTTGGTGTCTAAATGAAGGTAATCCCATTTAAAACCTACCCTCTGAAACATCAAATTGCCTCAGGATCTATAAAAGTCAGCCTTCACTAATCTTTCCCAACCATATTACTTACAAATAAGCCTGTTTTTCCTATTTAGAAAACTAAGCTAGTCTCACTAGTACTTGGTCCTTCACCATTCCTCGTTTTTCTGATATCCTTTTCCTCATGCTACATTACAAAAATTCCTTTTTAAAATTACTAAGTTTTATTTTACGTGTATGAGTATATGGCCTGCATGTAAGGGCGCCTGTGCTGTGCAAAGGTTGCAGAGGCCAGAAGAGGGTGTCAGATCCCCTGGAGCTGGAGTTATGGATGGCTGTTGGCCGCTGTGTGGGGACTGGGAATCCAACCCAGGTCCTCTGCAAGAGTAGCCAGTGTTCTTAACTGCTAAGCCATCTCTCCAGCCCTACAAAAAACCCTTTATTACTAATAGTGATGCTTTGACTGCCACATTTACATGATTTTCCAGTTAGCCATTTATCTTTTCCTTTTACAACTCAGTCGTCTAATTTTTTTTCCTGAGGAAAGAGGTCTATCAATGCTCCTTGGTTTCTGTCTTTGCTTCCAGGTAGGGGTCAGCCTCCTCTGCCTAACACAATCATTCCTACTTTCTTCTTATTTCTTACAATTCCCTTTTTAAAATAATTTACCTGGAATTTATCTTAGATATTGGTATAAAGTAGGAGCTGCCTCTACTTTTCACTCAAATGGTTTTTGTGTCTTTTTATTTTAAAACAAACCAAATTCTTTTCTAACTTGAAATGCTGGCTTTTTACTAAGACTTTATGTTACTGCGTCTATTTGCAGACAAAGAGATCTTTATATTCAAATGAACTGTTTAATTCTATTATTTTAAATCACAATGTGATTTACATGAAATAATTTCAACAACCAATTACAAAAATGATCATGTGCTGTTATAATTATTGCCATTTCTCTGCACAAAGTTTGAAACAATATCTAACCTTGATGCTATTTAACTAATCTCAATTATCTTCAGTAATGCTAAAAAATACTACTCATTAGATTCACTTACCTCATAAAGGCTGCTCATTTCAATTGCAGTTATCAAATTATTGTTCACAAGTGATTCTATTTCTATAAGCTTCTTATTCTGTGTATGTAAAATAAAGACTTCTTTATATCAGTTAAGATTTGGAATTTATTATAATACCATACATTTACGGATACCATCAACATAAGAAGACTCAATTCTTCTCAAACATTTGTTTGTTTGTTTGTTTGTTTATTTATTTGTTTACGAGTCAGGGACTCACACTATAGTTCTGGCTGGCCTAGAACTAACTACATAGGCAGGAATAGCTTTAAATACATGGCAATCCTCCTGCCTTAGCTCCAAACTACTGGGATTGCATCCATGAACTACCATGCCCAGTGATCATTTTCTACTAAGATAACACTGAGCTCAAAAGGTACTGTGATGAATGATTAAAACAGCTATGCATATACACAGATACATTTTGAATGCTTTTGAGAGGCTGGCTTTAAATTTTCTTACATTTTTTTATATTCCCATAATCATGTATCACATGCACGTATACATAGTTGGAAATTTAGCCATCAAGTATTGCAGGCTGTTTTTCCATTTTAAATTAATTTCTACTCATTTTAGATCTACAATGTTACAATTTAGATAAATAACTGGCTTTCTTGCCCTGTTTGTGGGCAGGCAGAGTTGTTGTTTGAAAGGAAAAGAAAGAAATACGACCTCCATTCTATTTGGCTTATAGCCAGTAAAATGCAAGATTAAAAGAAAACAGAAACACTGTGGGAACTCCCCTTTCAATTCACTACACGAATTATGCTCACCACTTTAAAATGTACTGTAATACACCAAGCTTTGCATATGGTAAGCAGTCAAATGTTGATAACGGCATTAGGTTGGTTTGCAGAGCATACAAGAATACATTTAGAATATGAGAAGATGCCTATTTTAAAATCCAAGAACTGTCTGTTCTTTAACATAGATTTAGAGGGCACACTGACTTTCAATAATTGCTTATTACAACTGAAATTTTTAAACATTTTTAGAGTCTCTATAGTAATGTAATTAAAAGATTTCAGTTTAAAGTAGAATCCAAAAGAATAGTTTCCATACCAAGTTATTTAGCTTTAGGCGAAGAAAGGTATTCTCAAAATTCAGTTTCTCTACTTCTTTTTGTAATACCATCTTTTCAGTTGTAATTCTTCGAGCATTCTCTTTCTCTCTGCTGAGAGCCTGCGCTAATGCTCTGTTGTTGTGCTTTAAAGAGATCTTGAAAATAGAAGAATTGTCTATAAAAAGATTTTTAAAAGAGTTAATACTGAATTTATATGTTACATTTACTTTGATAACATTTCACATTCTTTAGCAAAACTATTTCAGATAAAAATGCATTTCACTTTATAAATATCAAGTGATGGTTGGAAGAGACTGGCAAGACAGGAATAATTCTGAGAAAAGTATACCCAGAGTTTAGAGCTTAAAAAAAAAAATGCTAGTAGATGAAGACAGCTAGGAGGAGTGCAGCTGAGAATAAGAACAGTAATACAGACCATACCACACAGAGGTAATAGACCCAGCATTCCAGACAGCAGCAATACAGACCCAGCATTGCAGACAGCAGTAATACAGACCCAGCATTCCAGACAGCAGTGGTACAGACCCAGCATTCCAGACAGCAGTAATACAGACCCAGCATTCCAGACAGCAGTAGTACAGACCTAGCATTCCAGACGGCAGTAGTACAGACCCAGCATTCCGGACGGCAGTAATACAGACCCAGCATTCCAGACAGCAGTAGTACAGACCTAGCATTCCAGACGGCAGTAGTACAGACCCAGCATTCCAGACAGCAGTAATACAGACCCAGCATTCCAGATGGCAGTAATACAGATGCAGCATTCTAGACAGCAGCAATACAGGCCCAGCATTCCAGACAGTGGTAATACAGACCCTGCATTACACACAGTAGTAATAGAAACCCAGCATTCCAGACAGCAGTAATACAGACCCAGCATTGCAGACAGCAGCAATACAGATCCAGCATTGCAGACAGCAGCAATACAGACCCAGCATTACACACAGTAGTAACAGAGACCCAACATTCCAGACAGCAGCAATACAGATCCAGCATTGCAGACAGCAGTAATAGACCCAGCATTCCAGACAGCAGTAAAACAGACCTAGCATTCTTGACAACAGTGATAGACCCAGAATTCCAGACAGCAGTAATAGACCCAGCATTCCAGTAACATAGACCCAGCATTCTATACAGCAGTAACACAGATCGAACATTCCAAAGGAGTAATACAGACCCAGCATTCCAGACAGTGATAATATAGACCCAACAGTCCAGACAGTGCTAATACAGGCCCAGCATTCCAGACAGCAGTAATACAGATCCAGTCTTCCAGACAGCAATAACACAGACCCAGCATTCCACATAGCAGTAATACAGACCTAGCATTCTAGACAGCAGTAATAGACTCAGCATTCCAGACAGCAGTAATAGAGACCCAGCACTCTAGACAGGGGTAACAGAGACCCAGCACTGCAGACAACAGTAATACAGACCCAGCATCTAGACAGATTAGAAGAGCAGTAATACAAACCTAGTATTCCAGACACATAAATCACAAAAATGAACTACTCCCTGCCTTCCTTCCTATGTCAACTAGAAGCAGAGCAGAAAAGCTGATCCTGCAGCTTAAACTGGAGGGTTACAAGAGTTAGGGCATCCAATCTAAAATTTTTACATTGGTTTCTGTGTTTCCACAACTGAATAAAATAGTTTATGATCCTAAAGTCCATTTCTTAACCCTCAAATGAGAGGTTCATAAAACCTGTAGATCTTCTACCTTTACCCAAAAGATCATACTTATTTTTAGTAATCTCCTGCAATTTAGACTTCATTTATTCTGTTTAAAAGTACTATGTAAATATAATTTAAATCAACACTGAAATTTCATTCTCTTGGTAGCAAAGAAATCTCAGTGTGCATCATTCGCTGAAGGCATTTTAAAGTAGTATATTCCCTTAATACACTTAAATCATAATTATGTTTTCATAATTTGAACTTAGTTTCTACTGCATGTTAGTAGCCCACTCCACTGGTAAAAGTACAGTGTAATGTGTGTGTACATATACATATATAAAATACATATTATATATAGGTGGCAGGGCCTTGCTATGTAGTCCCAGGCTATTCTCAGTCTTCCAAGTGCTGGAATTTCAGGTATGTGCCATCACACCTCACTACAATATTTTTCATTAAATATAACATTTAGATATTCAGGGAAAGTTTGGGCATCTATAAAACAGAGTCCACAAAAGGACTTTATCTTTAGTACAGAGTAGTTTCACATAGCTCTCCTTAGCATACCCAACAGAAACAGATCATAACTAACTAGGATTTCCAGAAGCCACAGAGGAGTACTATTTTCCTGCTGTTCTCCTCAGACTTAGCATATCCCTTCATAATAGTGGACACAAAATAGTCCTGCTTAAAATTCACTATCACCACTGAGAATAAATCACCAAGACCACTCAACTAACAGAGGAGTTGAAAGCCAAAGACAGTTCAAAAGAAGAAGTATCAGCTAACAAAGTCACCATTTGAGTATTTTTTTTATATTTGCTAAAATAGGGTAGCAAATAAATCAGTTCTTCGGGAAGGTAAAAAAAAAAAGTATACTTTAAAATGAATGGCACTTACTTATTATTTTTGTTTTGATTTTTGAAGCAAGAGAAACATTCAGCTTTGTCTTTGAAATTCGGTCTTTCACTCGTCTCTTGATCCCCGAGGTAACTGAGTCGACTTCCATCGCCGGGTATTTTATCACTAAAGTGAATGGAAAAGGAAGGGGGAGGTGACTGCAGTACTGATTAATAAAGGTAAACTGGGAACTGATCGACACAGTCTAAAAATGACGACTTTGTACATAAGTAATTGTAGTACTTTGCATAAAAATCTGAAAGCAGGAATTCATGTAATCAAGGGTAATTTAAAGTGAATCCCCCAAAGATAAATACTTCATGTTCTATATTCCTGGGAGAGGCTGTGGAATAGGACAGGTGACAGAACAGGGTCCCTGCTGTCATGAAAGGAGTAATCCAATGTAGAGACACTGTTTCGCTATAAATGCATGAAGGATAACCTTAGATAGGAAAGCAGGGTTTAAGAGACACACAGGAGAAATGAGGAATTCAAGGAAGGAGTGAAGGGCTGCAGAACAGAAGGAAATTATAAGCTCACCTGTGTCTATTAGAGTTATATCTAGACTTTAATAGAAATGGAAACATGAAGTAATAATTGTATAATACAAGAATAATGACTCTAACACCTAGACATCAGAGGCATGGTTAACTGGCAGAGAACGGAGCAGGTAGAGTTCCAGTGAGGTCTTGTTTGAACAAGGCCAACCTCCCAAGCCTATATTCCTGCCCCCAGCCTCCTTGCCTCCATCTGCAGATAACTAGAAAGGATCTTGTCACCTGCACCTGCCTACCCTCAATGTCCAACTGTTCAACCATGACCTGCCTTAAGTGCACAGAACTATCTTATTTCATGTCCATCACAAGAGCCCATAGACTCCCCTGTGATCCTAATCCTCCTCACTTTAATTCCCCTCCAATTCTGCACATCATTTCATAGTCTGTATGAGGCTAGAAAATGTCCCCTGAGTGGAGTCTATAGATTTGAGGATCTAGTGATGAGACTAATCTGAATTACCTGGGTAATGTTTAATAGTATCACAAGCATCTTCACAAGGAAGAACAGAAATGAGAATGACGTCGCCACAGGCCACAGGCTGCTTACAGCCTCTGGAAGCTGAAAGCACCAAGGAATACTTCATCTGCAGCCTCTAGGAGTGTAGCCCTACAGGTACCCGGGTTTCTGCTGGTGGTACTGAGTGTGGGTTTAGCCCTCCAGAACTGTGAGAAAATAAATTTCTGTTTTAAGCCATTTTGCTTGTATCACTTCACTACAGTGGGCACTGGAAATGAACACAGTCCCCAACTCACCCACGGACAGCTCCTAGAGCCTTCTGGAACTCATAATCAATTATCATTTATAAATCCACTTACAGTTTCTGTCTCTCCTGAACGTCCCCTTTCTCCCCACGAACCAGCAGCTCTGTCAAGCAGCAACTATTTTTTCTACAGTACCCTACTAGAAGTTAAACAACATTCATGCTTATTATGGAACATTCACTCTACCTCCTCCCTAAAAATTTCCAGCTTTGAATACAATGCCATTGTTTCGATGGTGATTCCAAATCCTATCAAACTGACAATCAAGATTAACCATCACAGAGCCTTCATTTCATCCTCAGATACCACAATGCTCTACCCCTCTTCACAGCAAAACCTCTAGAAGGAATTGTGTCTACTCAGTTTGTAATTCTCTCCACAAACCTTTCAGTCAGGTATTCTCTCTGACTACTCCACCAAAACTGCACACCTCCCCTTCCCCATTTCCTTAGCAGTGTACCCTTGACTTCTTCACTAAGTTCCCACCTTACAGCCTACTTTTGACATGCTCCCAGCGAAGAATCTTCACATTCTTTTTTCCTTTGCACCCATTCTTCCTTCAAACGACCACAGGGCTTGCTCACTCCCTCCAAATCATTGCTCAAAATCACTATCTTAATGAGCCTTCCCAGTCAAAGTAATTTATAGTCTGTTTTCTCCTGCTGAAATGTAAGTTCAATGGGGGTATGGATTTCTGTCAAGTTTGTTTTCTCCTGGACTCTTAGTGCCTGGCACATAATAGCTCTTTGGATAAACATTTGTAGTAGAAATGGCTGGATGAATGGAAGAAATTTTCAGTAGTTAAAAAAAAAAAAAACTGCCCAGTGTTGAAATGGGTCACTTTTGAAAGCATTGAGCCACTGTTGGGAGTTGTCAAGAAAATTATAGAAGATGGTTTTAGAAGGAATTTCTGCAATAGAGAAATAGTTTAACTACCAATCTTTCAAAATTAAAGGCCAATGCTTCTAAAGATTTTGCCAAAAGAAAAATTAAAATCAAAGATGATCACTATTCCATAGACTGTAGATCATAAAGGCCCATAGCAACCACACAGACTCTTACCTCACACCATTGAAAGAGAACCTAATATAAAAACTAAGTCTGTCTTTCAAAACTCCAGTTAGGAAAATCAAATGTCATTTTGCTAATTAGGAAACCACAGTCGAACTTTCCTCCCTAATAATCTGGCTCTTACACAGTTCCCTACCTTAATAAATGGCGCCATCACTCATCCAAATGCTCATGCTAGAAATCAGTCTTCCTTACTCTCTGTCACCTCCCACATCAATGACTTCAAATGGCATAAAAGAAGCAACCAGAACCAGGCTCCTGGAACATGGCTCCGGGATGAGTTACCATACAGACACCAAAACATGACAGTGTTTAGGAAGGTGTTGGTGTTCCAGCTCCAACATTTCATATTTATATGATTTTAACGTCTCTAGGTCTCAGTTTGCAAATTTATTAAGTTACAAAAAATAAGAGCACCAGGTCTGAGCTAATGCATGCACAGTGCCTGGAATGGGATGAGGTACCTAGTCAGCACTCAGTAACGCCCATTCATTATTATCCTGCAATGTCAGCCAGCATCTCACCTATCTCAAAACACAAAATTCCGCATCCAATTCTCCTGAATTAGATCCTCCACCTAGAAACCGTCCCTCTTCTCTACTGAACTCCTATCTGTATGTAAGCTCCACGTTGTTCAGTTTCTCATCATTCCTTCGCCTTCTGCCAGCCTCTGTTCTAAAAGAGCTCCAAAACAGAGGGCTCCTTCAAGTCTTTGGGCCTGCAGAGCACTCACAAAGCGCCAGAGGTTATTACAGAACAGAGCAATCACCAGATAGAAACGCCTTCTTTCCGGGCGCTGACCTGCGAGCTGGTGGCTCAAGCAGATCAGAAGTCCAGCTCGGCCGGTTAGGAATTGCAAGCCGCCGCCAGGCTGCGGTCGGGCTCCGGGAGGGCGGAGGGCAGCCAGGGACCGAGACCGACGCAGCCAGGAGGGCCCGCGGAGACACACACGGGGTACGCGGGCCGCTGGGAGGCGGGGCGGCGGCACTGACTTACCGTTCCTTGAGCTCGGGGAATCGGCACCCACCTCCAGGAGCTCTACGCCGTGTCCCAGAATCCGGGACGCGAGTTTAAACTCCGCGGCGGCAGTTAGCGGTTTGGCGCAGCAACCAATCAGATACCGAGAGGGAGGTGCAAAGGCGCGCGGTTACCAGGAAGTAGGAGACGGAAGGGGCGGGACTCTTCGGCCAAGGCCTAGTGGGCGTGGCTGGGCGAGCCAGGGGCGCCCCAGCCGGTGGGAGGGGGACCGTTTCCTCCATCTTTGATGGTAAGTAAACTACTCCGCAGACTAAATTATTAAACAGATGGCTGAAGGCTTGACAGTCACCTCAAGTCTTGCAAGGCTTATGCTGTTTACTGTGAGATTACCCGTTTATATATTATTTCTGCATCCTTGCCCTCCCCATTGTGTCTCTCACCCCTTTGGGTTTCACTTAAAACCGTTCTCATTTCTACCTTGGAACTTTCTCAGAACGGTTCCCAATGACATTTCATTTAGGCTAATACACAAGAGTGGCATTTTTTAACGAAGACAGCTATATTTTAAAATATACGCGTCTATTTTCCAAGTCAATTAGTTTCCTCTCGCATATGATTAATAATGTATGAAGAATTTAGAGAGCTATAAATCTTTCCTTGCTATATTCCATTAAACAAAAATAGCTTATTAAGTCTATGTTGTAATTGATTATCCGATAATGAGGTCAACCTCATGGTCTTGTCATCTTTTCCATCGTTTGAGATCATTTGAGAATTATGACTTTGCATTTTATTTTAGAGATTGTATAAAGTAATAGGAAGGGGCTTGTTTTAGACATTTAATTTCTTATTAGAAGGGAGATCTGGATATATCTGTTAAAAAGTTACAAAATAAATGCAAACAAAAAAGCCAAAACAACGCAAATGCACAGTTTGGAATGACAGTGGACCTGAAAAAAGCATTGCTATGAAGGGAAATTTTCTAATCTTTACATGAATAACATTTCCTTTAGTTTTTAAAATTGTCATATATTCATTGTGCTACATAATGCCAGGCTTCATGTAGAGAATTTTAGGGATATCATATATTTTGATCATATTCACCCCTTTCCCATTTCATCCTTTTAGTCTTCCCATTCTCTTTCCCCATTAATCTCCTTCCTTCCACTAATCTCCCTTATGTTTTCAAGTCATATATGTGTGTGATGGTTTTACGATCTATTCTAGGACCCATAAATGAAAAAAATGTGATACTTGCCTTTCTGCATTTATTTAACAGGATGATCTCCAGTTACATCCATTTTAGGAAAACATGGGAGAAACACTTCAAGATACACATAGGAAAGAACTTTTGGAAAGGACTCCAATAGCTTAGAAAGTAATACCAAGAACTGATAAGTGGGACTGCATGAAATTAAAGTGCTGCTGCACAGCAAAGAAAGCAATCAAGTGAAGAGACGGCCTACAGAATGGAGAAAATTCTTTGCAAGCTTCATATCTGACAGGATTAATATCTAGAAGATATGAAAAACTCAAAAAACTGAACAGTAATAAAAGCCAAATGGCCCAATCAATAAATGACCTAATGAAATGAACAGTTCTCAAAAGATGAAGTACAGGGCTGGTGAGATGGCTCAGTGGGTGAAGGCACTTGCTGCCAAACCTGATAACTTGAATTGGAGATCCTGAGTTTGATCCCTAGGATTTACATGGTGGAAGGAGAGAACTAACTCCTGGCAAGTTGTCCTCTAACCTCCATAGTCACATCATGGCATGTGCTCATTCTCTAAATAAATATATGAGACATCCTCTCTCCTGCCCAGTTTCCCCTCACTCTCTCTTTTACAAAAAGATGAAGTATAAATGGACAATGAACAGGAAAAACTGTTCAACATCCTTAGTTATCAGGGAAATGCAAATTAAAACAGCAGTAAGATTCCATCTCACCCCAATGAGAGCAGCTGCCATTAAGAAAACAAAAATTCTGGGGCTGGAGAGTTGGGTCAGTGGTTAAGACCACTTCCTCTCCTGCAAAGGATCCAGATTTGGTTCCCAGCACCCACATGGCAGCCAACAACTGTCTGTAACTACAGTTCCAGGGGCTCCGATGCCTTCTTCTGACCTCCACAGTCATTGCACGACACATGTGCACTTATATACATGCAGACAATACACTCATACACATAAAATAAAAATAATAAAAAAGAAAACAAAGTTTCTGATGAATATGTGGGGGGAAAAAGAACCCTTATGCATTGCTAGTCAGAATGCAAGTTGGTTCAACCATTATGGAAATCAGTTTGGATTTCTTCAAAAAACTAAAAATAGAGGTTCCATATAATGCAGCTATACCAATTCGGGGTATAAGCCCTAAGGATTCTAAGGCTTAAGAGTTAACTAACACTATATCTTGGCTACCTAGCATAATTCATCAAATATTCAATATATGTTATATGTTTCTTTAATGAAACTTTTCACAGCTCTACGATTTAATAGTCATTTAAGTTTAACTAAGTCATTCAATCTCTCTGGGCTTCTGTAACAACATCCAAAATATTTTTAAAAATATTTTATAATTTTTATTTTTAGTGTATGAGTGTATAGCCTGCATGTATGTAAGAGCAGCTGTGTTGTGCAGTGCCCCTGGAGGTCAGAAGTGGGTGTTGGATACCTCTTCTGGAACTGGAGTTACGGATGATCATTAGCCACCATGTGGGTGCTGGGAACCAAACCCAGATCCTCTGCAAAAGCTGCCAGTACACTTAACCGCTGAGCCATCTCTCCAGCCCCCCAAAATATTTTTATGATGGTTCTGATCAAGAGATTCCTTTGATACATCAACAATACTTTATTCCTACAATGATTAATTTTGATTGCCAACTTGACTGGGTTTGGAATCACCTAGGAGACACACCACTGGGCCTATCTGTGAAACTGTTTACAGAGAGGTTTAACAGAGAAAGGAAGACCCATCCTGAATATGGGTGATATCATCCCATTGACTGGGGTCCTAGATTAATTTAAAAAGAGTGAAGGAGGAAGTCAGCTGAGCACCAGCATTTATTTTTCTCTACTTCTTGTCTTCAGATGCAGTATGGCCAGCTACCTCACATTCCCACCACCATGCATTCCATGTCATAACAGACTGTATCCCCTCAAACTATGAGCCAAAATAAACCCTTCCTTCCTTAAGTTGTTTCTGTCAGGTATTTTGTCACAGCAATGAGAAAAATAACTAATGTACTTCTCAAAAGACTTTATTTTGTAGCTACAACTTTAAAATTTAATAAGAAAAGGAGACTGAAGTCAGAGTCAATAGGAAAAAAGAAAAAAAGAAGAAAACCACCAAGCTGGTATAACCACTGTGCACTCTGGAAATCAGTATGGAGAACTCTTAAAAAACTAAACTGAATCTATCATATGATCTGGTGATACCACTCCTTGGCATATACCCAAAGGACTCACCCTACTACCATAGCTCTTCACAATAGCTAAGAAATGGAAACAACCTAAATGTCCTTCAGCTGATGAATGGATGATGAAAATGTGGTACATTTCACAGTGGAGATCCACTCAGTGATAAAAACGAAATCATGAAATTTTCAGGTAAATGGATGGAACTAGAAACTGTTATACTAAGTGAAGTAACACAGACTCAGAAAAACAACTGATGTATGTTCTCTCTCATTCATGGATCTTAGAACCAAATCCTTAGATGTGAATATATATCCTAATGTAACTGCAGGAGCCAGGAGAATGGAAAGGAAACATGAGGGTAAAGGGAAAGAAGAGAGGGGGTTAGTAGAAGACAGATGATATCAAGGGGGAAATAGGGAAAATGGGAGTATTTAACTGGGAAAGGAAGAGGGAGAGTTATATAAGAAAACATGAAATTAAAGAGGAAGACAGAGCTTGTGAGAGGATAGTAGGAGACAACCGTTATCAAGGGGGAAATGGGGAAAATGAGGGTACTTTAATTGGAGGAGGAGGGAGGGTTATATAGGGGAAGAGAGAGATAAGATAAATAATGCTTGGGTGGTATGAAACCAGAGGGAACTCAATTAGCTCAAACCTACTGAAAAATTGTATATATATATATATA